ATTTGGTAATCACCATTATCTCAAACGTATTCATTATCACTCTGTCTGTCATGGTGATCAGCAGTCATGTCTGTGTCACATTTGGTAATCCTGCATCATCTCAAACGTATTCATTATCATTCTGTCACAGTGATCTGTGATCATCTCTGTGTCACATTTGGTAATCCTGCATTATCTCAAACGTATTCATTATCACTCTGTCTGTCACGGTGATCTGTGATCATCTCTGTGTCACATTTGGTAATCCTGCATTATCTCAAATGTATTCATTATCATTCTGTCTGTCCACGCATTGATCTGTGATCATCTCTGTCATTTGGTAATCCTGCATTATCTCAGAAAGCATTATTCATTATCCTTTCTCTGTCTGTCACGGTGATCTGTGATCATCTCTGTGTCTGTTGGTAATCCTGCATTATCTCAAGCGGTTCCATTATCCTCTGTCTGTCACGGTGATCTGTGATCATCTCTGTGTCACATTTGGTAATCCTGCATTATCTCAAGCAGTTCATTATCATTCTGTCTGGTGATCTGTGAGTCATCTGTGTCACAATTGGTAATCCTGCATTATCTCAAAGCGTATTCATTATCATTCTGTCTGTCACGGTGATCTGTGATCATCTCTGTGTCACATTTGGTAATCCTGCATTATCTCAAATGCATTCATTATCATTCTGTCTGTCACGGTGATCTGTGATCATCTCTGTGTCACATTCTGGTAATCCTGCATTATCTCAAACGTATTCATTATCACTCTGTCTGTCACGGTGATCTGTGATCATCTCTGTGTCACATCTGGTAATCCTGCATTATCTCAAACGTATTCATTATCACTCTGTCTGTCACGGTGATCTGTAGTCATCTCTATGTCACATCTGGTAATCCTACATTATCTCAGCATTATTCATTATCACTCTGTCTGTCACGGTGATCCTGTGATCATCTCTGTGTCACATTTGGTAAATCTCAAAGTATCTCAAACGCATTCATTATCATTCTGTCTATCACGGTGATCTGTGATCATCCTCTGTGTCCACATTCACCAAGTGTCTCATTGCCTATAGCGTATTCATTATCACTCTGTCTGTCTGATCTGTGATCATCTCTGTGTCACATTCTGGTAATCTGTATTATCTCAAAGCGTATTCATTATCACTCTGTCTGTCATGATCTGTGATCATCTCTGTGTCACATTTGGTAATCCTGCATTATCTCCAAAGCGTGTTCATTATCACTCTGTCACGGTGATCTGTGATCATCTGTGTCACATTTGGTAATCCTGCATCATCTCAAAACGTATTCATTATCACTCTGTCTGTCGGTGATCTGTGATCATCTCTGTGTCACATTTGGTAATCCTGCATTATACTCAAGCGGATTCATGATCATTCTGTCTGTCACGGTGATCTGTGATCATCTCTGTGTCACATTTGGTAATCCTGCATCATCTCAAACGTATTCATTATCACTCTGTCTGTCATGGTGATCTGTGATCAGTGTTCTTTGATATTACTACTCTTTGTTTGGGGCACCACAAACCAGGCTCATATGACAGAGGGAACTTAATTGATAAATGTGTGTGTGACTGCTCCACCAACCAGCATTCTCTCTCCCTCTCCTCAAGCCTCCCTATTCCCTGAGATATATGTGTGTAAAAGGTAGGCCAGTCGCCTTTACAGTAGCTCTAAGGGCTCAAGTGAAAGCAAGAGTTTCAAGTCTCTCACTTTATACACAAATCAAAGCTAGAAATAATTAAGCTTAGTAAAGGAAGCCATGTCTAGCGACCTGACAGCCTCGTCAGGCCTCCTTGTGGAAACTATTAGCCAAGTTGTGAACGCAAAGGAAAAATTCTTGATAGAAATCAAAAGTTACTCCAGTGAACACATGAATAATAACAAACTGAAACAGCCTTATTGCTCCATACGGAAAGTATGAGTGATCTAAATTGAACAAACCAGCCACAACATTCCCTTAAGCCAAACCTAGCAGTGTAAAGCCCTAACTCTCTTCAATGCTGAAGGCTTAGAGAAGCGAGGAAGCTGCAGAAGAAAAATCTGTCATGGTGATCTGTGATCAGTGTTCTTTGATGTTACTACTCTAACTGTTTTGGGGCACCACAAACCAGGCTCATATGACAGAGGGAACTTAATTGATAAATGTGTGTGTGACTGCTCCACCAACCAGCATTCTCTCTCCCTCTCCTCAAGCCTCCCTATTCCCTGAGATATAACAATATTAAAGTAGGCCAATTCGTAACCCTACAATGGCCTCTAAGGGCTCAAGTGAAAGCAAGAGTTTCAAGTCTCTCACTTTAAATCAAAAGCTAGAAATAATTAAGCTTAGTAAGGAAGCCATGTCTAACGACCTGACAGCCTCAAGTCAGGCCTCCTTGTGGCAAACTATTAGCCAAGTTGTGAACGCAAAGGAAAAATTCTTGATAGAAATCAAAAGTTACTCCAGTGAACACATGAATAATAACAAACTGAAACAGCCTTATTGCTCATACGGAGAAAGTATGAGTGATCTAAATTGAAGACAAACCAGCCACAACATTCCCTTAAGCCAAAACCTAACCCAGTGTAAAGCCCTAACTCTCTTCAATGCTATGAAGGCTTAGAGAAGCGAGGAAGCTGCAGAAGAAAAGGCTGTAGTTAGAGGATGGTTCATAAGGTTTACAAAAGAAGCTATTTCCAGAACATAAAAATGCAAGGTGAAGCAGCAAGTACTTATGCAGAAGCTGCCGCAAATTATCCAGAAGATCTAGCTATTATAAGATCACTGATGAAAATGGCTACACTCAATGACACATTTTCAATGAAGACAAACAGTTGGGAAGAAGATGCTATCTAGGACTTTCATAGCTAGAGAGGAGAAGTCAACACCTGGCTTCAAAGCTTCAAGGCCACGCTGACTCTCTTGTTAGGAGCTAATGTAGCTGGTGATTTTCAGTGGAAGCCAATGCTCACTTACCATTCTGAAAATCCTAGGGCCCTTAAGAATTATGATAAATCTACTCTGACTGTGTTCTATCAATAGAACAACAGAGCCTAGATGACAGCACATCTGTTTACAGCACATGGTTTAGTGAATAATTTAAGACCACTGTTGAAACCTGATCCTCAGAAAAAAAGATTTCTTTCAGAATATTACTGCTCATTGACAATGCACTTGCTCACTCAAGAGTTCTGGTGGAGACACAAAAAGAGATGAATGTTTGCATGACTGCTAACACAATCTCCATTCCACAGTCCACGGATCAAGGAGTAATTTCATCTTGCAAGTCTTATTATTTCAGAAATAAATTTTGTACGTTTATAGCTGCCATGGATACTGATTCTCTAATGGATCTTGGCAAAGTAAATGGAAAACCTTCTGGAAAGGATTCATCATTCTAGATGGCATTAAGAACACTGATGATTCATGGGAGGAGGTCAAAATATCAACATTAACAGGAATGTGAAGATTCCTGAAGATGATTCCAACCATCACGGATGACTTTAAGGAGTTCAAGACTTTGGTGGAGGATGTCACCTTTGGTGGAGGATGTCACTGCAAGTGTGATGGAAGTAGCGGGAGAACTAGAATTAGAAGTGGAGGTTGGGCATGGTGGCTCACACCTATAATCCTAGCACTATGGAAGGCCAAGGTGGGAGGATCGCTTGAGGACAGAAGTTCAAAACCAGCCTGGTCAACATAGTGAGACTCCCTTTCTACAAAAAAAAAATTAAAAAGTTAGCTGGGCATGGTGGCATGCACCTATAGTCCCAGCTATGAGGGAGACTGTGGAAGGAGGATTGTTTGAGCTCAGAAGTTTGAAGCTGTAGTGAGCCATGATTGTGCCACTGCATTCCAGCCTGGGTGACAGAGTAAGACCCTGATTTAAAAAAAAAAAAAAGAAAAAAAAAGTAGAGCCTTAAGGAATTGCTACACTCTTAAGATAAAACAAACAGATGAAGAGTTGCTTCTTATAGATAAGCAAAGAAAGTGATTCTTTTTGAGATGGCATCTACTCCTGGTGAAGATACTGTGAATACTGTTGAAATAACAACTAAAGATTTAGTACAATGTATAAACTTGGTTGATAAACCAGTAGCAGGGTTTGAGAGGACTGACTATTTTGAGAGAAGTTCTACTGTGGACAAAATACCCAAAGCATCCCATGCTAAAGAGAAATCTTTCACAAAAGTCAATCGATCCAGCAAGTTCACTACCTTATTTTAAAAAACTCCCACAGCTACCTGAGCTTTCAACCACCACCACTAGAATCGGTCAGCAGCTATCAAGAGGGAGATAAAGACCTCCCACCAGCAAAAAGATTATGACTTGCTGAGGGCTCAGATGATGAGTAGCATTTTTTACCAATGAAGTATTTTAAAATTAAGATGTGTACATTTTTTAGATATAGTACTATTGTACTCTCAACAGACTACAGTATAATACAAACATAACGTTTACATGTACTGAAAATCCAAAAACTCATCTGTCTTTATTGCAATATTTGCTTTTTGCAGTGGTCTGGAACCAAACTTGGAATATCTCTGAGATATGCCTATATTTCCTTGATTCCTAATGTGAATATGATACATGTGAAAAATGAATCTAATAAATAAGCAATTCAAACTATGTGGATAATAAATCTCAAAACCATGTATACTGATACGTTCTTTGATATATCCTATGACAAAATACAGCTTAACAAAGAATATGTAATGCGCACACACGCTAAATACCTTTCATCTTGCAGATACATTCAGCTCTCTACATAAGAAATACCCTCGGAAAACATTTATGCATATTTTAAAACGAGAACTTTCCGGCTTTACACAGCAGCATTTTATAATAAAATACTGATGTAATTGTTTCAGGATTCAAAAATATTTATTTCATTACAACCCTGTTTTTCCCCCCGAAAAAAAGAGTTGAAGAATAATTTTCTTGTTAGAATCTTAAGCAGGAAAAAAACTGACAAACCCAACAAACAAAAACAAAAACTACCCAACTGTTTTATCAATGCTTTAATATAAATTTTGCAAAGGAGGAAGGGCTCCACAAAATATACGCCCTGTGTAAGTCAGAGAAGGTGCAAACTTTCAACCCAATTAACTCAGGGTCTGTTTCAGTTTTGAAAAGATCGTAAGCTTAAAAAAAAGAAATCTACGCTGGCTGAACTTTTACAAAGCAGGAATGAAATACTGGAGAGACACATCTTCTTGAACCAAAACAAGCTGAAGAAGACTATTGTCCCAAATATTGCATAAGGCCATCGTGGGATTTATTTGCTGTCCCTCCAAAAACTGCAGGAGCTTCCGATTATCTACCCGCACTTGCGCCATGCTCTCCAGGTCTCCGTGTGGAGGCACGCCAGCCGGCTCCGGAGGGTTTCCAAGATTTTTAAAGTAACTTTTAATGGACACCACCTCCGTCTCTATGCTCAGGGTCATCCTGCCCCTGCGGTTTGCTTCCACCAGCACGTGATCGCCCACGTTCGCCATTCTCTCCACGATGCTCCTCAGCGTCCTCCAGCGCGGCAGGTAGATGCTCGCGTCGGCGGCGCGCAGGCTGGGCGGCGGGCAGCCTCGCCACGCCCTCCGGGGAAGCACCTGCACGGGCAGATCGTGCACCACGCTGCGAGCGCGGCCCAGGGACGAGGCCAGCGCCACCGCCACCGTGAGGCAGGGGCGGCGCCTGTGGGTCAGCTGCAGCTTCAGGGAGGACGCGCCCGCGGCGCTTCTGGCCGCCCTGCACAGGTGCTCCGCCGTGAGCTCCAGATGGATCTCATCGAGGTCTTCCGAGACACCTTCCATGCGGAACTGCTGGAAGGCCCCCCGCCGCACCTCGCACCACAGCCCGGCCTCGCACCACAGCCCGGCCTCACGGAGGCCGCGGAAGCCCGCGGGGCCGAAGCACAGGCTGTCAGGGCGCACGCGGAGCACGCAGACCTTCGCCAGCCTCGCGACGGTGCCGCTGACGTGGATGAACAGCTCTAGACGGCCCTTGCCGGTGATCTTGGCGCGAAACTTCATGGCGCCACAGCGAAGGCAGCTCCGGGCCTCTGAGGGGGATGCTGCGTGCCACAAGTCCTTCCGGTCCGCCGGGGTCCCCGGCGCCGCCCTCCCCGCCCTCCCCCCGGGCCCGAGCAGGGCAGGCACTCGGGTTCCGGGCTCTGTTCTGGCTTCCGCAGCCCCAGGCCTGGAGCCACGGCAGGGCGCGCCCACGCCGTTCTCACCTGCCCTCCAGCCCTCGCACAAAACGCTTCCGTTTCCGCTCCGGTTATGAGAAGAGCAGGCATTCCACTGCTGACACTCCTCAGTATTCTCACCACTATGAAGACAAAGTCATCACTCAGATAAATAACCACTTTTGATCTCTATGGCATACACACTGACACCATCTTCAATCGTACATGAAGATACAGTTCCACGGGTCTTACGAAATTATAGCATACTAGGCACACATTTTACAACCTCGTCTTCACACGTAAAATATGTAACAGGCATCTCTCCATGTTGGTGAAACAAATCTACATCATTTTCATGGCTGCTCAGTTTTCCAATGTATAGAGTTAGAACACAAGTGACATTCAGATGATTTCCAATTTTTTGCTATTATGAACACAATGAATATTTTTGTACAAAATAGTTTTGCCCATTTACCCAAGTATTTCCTTGAATTGTTAAATTCAGAAGTGAAGTGCTGGTCAATGAATGCACTTTTAAAATCCTAGTAAATATTCTCAAACTGGTCTGCAGAAAGCTGCGTGAACACACTAGCCCACCAGCAACACTGGGTATTAGCAATCTGTTTCATCTGTAGCACTCTGGAAGGCAAAAAAAAAAAAAAAAAAAAAAAGAAATTCAACTTGCACTGTGTGTGAATTCCATTTTATGGCCTTCACATGTTTTTATTGAGTTTATTTTTCTTGATTTCAAGATATCTAGCAAGAACATTAACCCTCTGTCCATTACATGTACTGTAAATATCTTCCCCAGTTTATCATGTGACTTTTCACACTGTTTTTGGTACTCTTTGCTCTTGGGAAATATTGAATCTTTTTTTATGTCAAACCTATTGACCTTTTCTCTACTACTTCTAGGGTCATGCTTTCAAAGTCCTGTTTCTGGTACTTTAATGTTATCTGTTTTTATGACTTAGTTGTTTGACTCAGTTGAAATCTTGCAGTACCGAATACCTAGCTGATACACACAATTCACTAAACAATCCACTTCTCCACTAATCTGAAATGTCAATTTTATTTTAGACAAAAAATTCTCATTTTTGCCTCAATGTTTCCTGGCCCTCTCTATATTTTCTCCCACTGCCCTATCTTGCACCTGTACCAGTGATTTAATTTCCATATTATATTTCAATATCGAATAGGACAATCTTTCAGAACTTCTCTCATTCTCTCACAGATACTGCTCCAGATGAACTTCAAAATATTTTGTCAGAGTCTAAAAATAATCTTCCTGGAATTTTACTGGGAATTATCACCACCCTGATATAGTACATACTTACACTTCTTTGTTTGCTATCTAGCTCTAACCACAATTATGTAAATTAGAGGAGTTCTTATTTGTTCCATATACCACTGGACAGCCAGCATTTAGAACAGTATCTGCCATGCAACTGGTGTTCAACACAAATTTTTACATGAATGTATGAAATGCATAAATTGCAAAGTAATTTCAGGATATTTTGTATATATATAAAAATATATATATATATATATATATATTTTTTTTTTTTTGAGACAAAGTCTCACTCTCTCTCATCGCCCAGGCTAGAGTGCAATGATGAGATCTCAGCTCACTGCAACCTCTGCCTCCCGGGTTCAAGCGATTCTCTTGCCTCAGCCTCCTGAGTAGCTGGGATTACAGGTGCCTGCCACCACGCCCAGCTAATTTTTGTATTTTTAGTAAAGACGAGGTTTTATCATGCTGGCCAGGCTGGTCTCCAACTCCCGATCTCAAGTGATCTGCCTGCCTTGGCCTCTCAAAGTGCTGGGATTACAGATGTGAGCCACTGCGCCTAGCCAGGATATTTAAAATATTTACATTAAATCCTCCCACTTATTCAAACCATTTTTTTGACTGTCAATGAATTATTCTGTTCTGTTCTTGGGGAGTTCACATAATATATAGTATCTTGAAGTCAGTCAAGTCACTGAGCTCTCCTGAAATAATTTTTCAATTGATCTTTTATGTTTCTTATGTAGAAAATCTTACTATCTTCATGTACTATAATTATGGCTTTTACTCTTCAAGGTTTATGTCATTTATTTAACTGACATTGTGTTTGATGTAATTTTCAAAACACTGCTGAATAACAGTGGTACTAGCAAGCATCTCTGTCTTATTTGTAACTAATGAGGAATCCTCTAGAGCAGTGTTTCCCAAATTGTCATGAGTGCCCCCAAGAGTCTTTTTAGGTTTCTTTCCTAATTGCCCTCCATGAAATTTTAGTAATAATACCATTAATATAATACATATCTGTATTATATACTATATGTATATCTTTATGTCAAGATTTTGTCCCCTCAAGAATTATTCCTCCTGTTGATAATCCATGCTTTAACATTTCACCATTAACATGATGTTTGCTATTAATACTTTATTATGTACACAAAGTATTTATCTAGTCTTAATTTCTTGGGGTTCTACTTTTTAAATTAGGAATGGATATTAAATTTTATCAAATAGTTTTTCATCATCCTTCAAGATAATTTTTCACCTAATATAGCAAATTAAAGTAATAGATTTCCAATTACTGAATTACTCTATAATCTAGGAATAAACAGTACTTGGTTCCATGTTCTAGTCCTTTAAACACTCCTGGATTTGATTTGCTAACATTTTGTTTAGGAGTTCTGCATCTTTAATTTTACTTGTAATTGGTCTAGAATTATCTTCTCTTGTACTATTAATTTGCTTTTGGTATCCAGACACATTCAACATTTCAATATTATTGGGCAGTTCTATATCCACAGCAGCTCTGTTTCACTTACAGAAAGAACGTGAAGTTTCCCATACTTGTCACCTTATAGTAGCTTAAATAGCATAGGAATAATCTATTCCTTGTAGGTTTCCTATAAGTAGCTTCTAAAACCATCTATTTCTAGTGCCTTGCTGGGTATGAGTATTTGGGAATTTCTTTCATGCTTCTATGTCCGTATTTTACTGTATTGTGAGAAAGTCAGAAATGTCATTTTGATTTTCAAATTTAATATGCTTTTATATGTAAAAATCTATTTTCTCAGAGTTAGATGTGCCAATCAATGACTGTTTTACTAATTTTTATAGTCTTTGATGTAAGTTGTCAATTCTATTTTCTTTTTTCAGAAGAAAATTCATGATCAAATTTCATCACTTTCCACTTCAGTATTAACTCCTTTTTGCATTTTGCTATTTCCTTCCTACCTTTCTGGACTGAACACTTAGTCCATTTGTTTTCATTCTCTTTGCCTAATAACATTTAGAGCCACTATTTTTCCTACGTGTAGCTTTGATCATATAACATTATTAAATAAAATTATGAAAAGCCACTGATTTGAACTGAGTTGCTGCACTACACCCAACAGAGCAACTCAAAATGGAGTCACTCATGCTAGGTTTCCAAATCACAAACCAAAATCTAAACTGTTTACCTGTAATATCTGACCTTGCAGGAAATCTTGAAGAATGCACTAAAGTTTCTTTTGTCGAATCTCTTTATATACTTATTTAGTGAGCTTCCCTGATGCACATTTTAGATCAAGAGTCAGGAAATGGATTTAGGGGGACAGATTATTGTGTCAACAGGAGGCAGGACTAGATGGCAGGTCCAAACAGAGCAGCATGGGAAGGCTCGCATTGTGAATTTTAGCCCCAGATTGACTGCAAGAACAGTACCAGTAATCTCAGACCCTCTGAAGGAAGTAAACTGCTCTTGCAGGACCCAGAAGACAATCCAAATACTGTGACTGCCCCAGCTGTGGAAGTGGGAAAGGGAGACCTTCCTCTCCCGAACACACACTCCCACTGGAGACGCTGAAGGTCTGTGTGTGGAGAAGTTTCCGACTTTCCCTGGAGCTGAGTCAATGTGGAGAGGCGAGTGAAATACAGGGGTAGAGGAAGCAGCAGAAAGGCCCTGGGAGCTCACTGTGTCCCCTTGCAGGTCATTCCTGCCTGGCACCACAGGGATTCATCTGGAAGGTGGCCTGAGGAGCAGGGGGTGCAACTCCACAGGGAGAAGGAAATCTCTAACTGAACTTTGTAACAATTTGAACAGTGAGAAGCCTCCTGGCCAGAACTTGGGAGAGGACGCAAATCCGCAAATCCGGTGTGCAGACTCCACAGGCAGGGAGAGAACCCAGCCTTTTTAGTTCACAGCTGGGAGGCAGGTAGCCTGGGGCATATTTTTAAGCCCATCTTGCCACTCGGGGCTGTTGTGGGGGGGCATGGTGGTTGTGAGACGGGCCCTTCAGTTTTGTGTGGGAACTGGGTGAGGCCTGTGACTGCAGGCTTTCCCCCACTTCACTGACAACCTGCATGACTCAGCAGAGACAGCCATAATACCCCTAGGTACACAACTCCACCCCCATCCCCCAAGACTCACCCATCCCCACCCCCCACCCCTTCCCCCCACAACCTGATTGTCCTTCCCTACCCAACCTGGTAGCCCAAGACAAAGGACACACAACCTTGGGAGTTCTAGGGCCCCACCCACCACCTGTCCCTCTCTACACTACTACAGCTGAAAAGCACCACCTGGCAGAAGGCCAACCAGCACAAAAATAGAGCATTAAACCACCAAAGCTAAGGACCCTCCTCATGCAGTCCACTGCACCTTCTGCCACCTCCACTGGAACAAGCGCTGATATTCACGGCTGAGAGACCATAGATGGTTCACATCACAGGACTCTGTGCAGGCAACCCCCAGTACCAGTGCAGAGCCAGGCAGACTCGCTAGGTGGCTAGACCCGGAAGAGAGACAGCAATCATGCAGTTCGGCTCACAGGAAGCCACATCCACAGGAAAAGGGGGAGAGTACTACATCAAGGGAACACTTTGTGGGACAAAAGAATCTGAACAGCAGCCTTCAGCCCTAGACTTTCCTTCTGACGAAGGCTACCCAAATGAGAAGGAACCAGAAAACCAACCCTGGTAATATGACAAAACAAGTCTCTTTAGCATCCCCGCAAAATCGCACTAGTTCACCAGCAATGGATCCAAACCATGAAGAAATCCCTGATTTACCTGAAAAAAAATTCAGAGGCCGGGCGCGGTGGCTCAAGCCTGTAATCCCAGCACTTTGGGAGGCCGAGACGGGCGGATCACAAGGTCAGGAGATCGAGACCAGCCTGACTAACACGGTGAAACCCCGTCTCTACTAAAAAAATACAAAAAACTAGCCGGGCGAGGTGGTGGGCGCCTGTAGTCCCAGCTACTCGGGAGGCTGAGGCAGGAGAATGGCGTAGACCCGGGAAGCGGAGCTTGCAGTGAGCTGAGATCCGGCCACTGCACTCCAGCCTGGGTGACAGAGCAAGACTCTGTCTCAAAAAAAAAAAAAAAAAAAAAAAAAAATTCACAAGGTTATTAAGCTAATCAAGGAGGGATCAGGGAAAGGCAGAGCCAATGCAAAGAAATCAAATAAATACAAAAAGTGAAGGGAAAAATATTCAAGGAAATAGATAGCTTAAATAAAAAACAATCAAAAATTCAGGAAACTTTGGACACATTTTTAGAAATGTAAAATGCTCTGGAAAGTCTCAGCAATAGAATCGAACAAGTAGAAGGAAGAAATTCAGAGCTCGAAGGTCTACAAATTAACCAATCGAACAATGACAAAGTAAAAAGAAGAAAATATGAACAAAGTCTCCAAGGAGTCTGGGGTTATGTTAAATGACCAAACCTAATAATCAGTATTCCTGAAGACGACAATTCTAAAAGCTTGGAAAAAAAACTTCCTCAGTCCTGCTGGAGACTCAGACATCCAAATACAAGAAGCACAAAGAACACCCAGGAAATTCACTGCAAAAAGATCATCACCTAGGCACACTGTCATCGGGTTATACCCAGTTCTGACTAAGGAAAGAGCTAAGACTAAGAGCTGTGAGACAGAAGCACCAAGTAATCTACAAAGGAAAACCTATCAGAATAACAGCAGATTTCTCAGCAGAAACCCTACAAGCTAGAAGGGATTGAGGTCCTATCTTCAGCGCCCTCAAACAGAACAATTATCAACCAAGAATTCTGTATCCACTGAAACTATGCATCACATATGAAGGAAAGATACAGTCTTTCAGACAAACATGCTGAGAGAATTCGCCATTACCAAGCCAGCACTACAAGAACTGCTAAAAGGAGCTCTAACTCTCGAAACAAATTCTGGAAACACAACAAAACAGAACCTCTTTAAAGCATAAATCACACAGGACCTATAACAAAAATACACGTTACAAAGCAAAAACAAACAAAAAAACAAAAAAAACACAAAGTACACAGGCAACAGCATGATGAATGCAACAGTACCTCACATTTCAATATTAACATCGAGTGTAAATGGCCTAAATGCTCCACTTAAAAGATACCGAACCACACAATGGATAAGACTCACCAACCAATGATCTACTGCCTTCAGGAGCCTCAGCTAACACACAAGGACTCACATAAAGTAAAGGGGTGGAAAAAGGCATTTCATGCAAATGGACACCAAAAGCCAGTAGGGGTAGCTA